GGGGAAGTTTTCTCAGTTCGTACAATCTCCAAAAGAGGCATCACATGAGCTGGACTGTTCATTAAAAATCATGTCAGACATAAACACAAATTCATGACTATTAATAAAAATTTCAATCAAGATGATAATAAAACTGATTAAACTAAGGTCCTGTGGAAAAAGGACTCTATACTACTTCACCAACTCAATAACAAAGTGTGCCTGTAACAATGGTGATTATGTTATATCCACTGCCAATAAATTTGTTTGAGAAGTAGGTTCCAAATTACAATTCTTGTGGTTTACATGCCCATGGAAAGAAGAAAAGCAAAAAAAGTATTATGCTATATTGACAAGAATAGATACTGTATACATATAATTGGAAGAACTAGTGAATCAGAATACCTACCCAACCAGCAATTGTAGATCCTCAAAAGGATCCGTTTGATTTCAGATGATTATATATATTATATGGGTAAAAAGGTTATTTCCTTGCATATGGCTTTTAATAACTCAAGTAAACAAGTTACAATGAGTTTATTTGAATGATAATAAGGAATGCATATGTCAACTAAGAAAGGAAATAAAGTTCAAACCTGAAAAAATGTGCTCCAATAATACGATCTTGTGAGTTGGTCTTTTCTCCAACTAAATTGAGGTCAATAGTAGATGTGTTGGTGGCCAAAATACAGTGAGTGGGGCAGGCCTTCTCAATTTCACTGAAAATTTTTTGCTTCAATGGAATATTCTCAATAACTGCCTGCAACATGGAGTTCAATGAATTAAATTACTACTGCCTTCCAATGGAACAGGGCAGATTAGATAAATAAGTCCAACGCCCAATTCAACTAAAATATGCTCCTGCTTAAGAAGAAATATAGACCATATAGAAATAAAGATTTACAACCAAACTTTTTTTTTTGGGCCAAATAGAAACCTCAGATGTAGCTATAACCAACAGAAACTAAGAGATCAATGTCCCAAAAACAATTTAAATTTTAATAACATGACCAGATACCAACCCACCTCTATGACCATATCCACATCTTTAAATTCTGAGTAGTCCAGTACTCCTCTCAGCATTGAAAGGGCCTTTTTTGCCTTGTCCTTTGTCAATTTTCCTCTGGATACTAAACCTCGAACATTTGCTGCCAGCCATAAAATAAGATAGCATTTAATTTTGAGACAAAAAAAAGTTTCAACACCAAAATAAATCTCTAAGATAATTGTCCATATCATATATTAAAAAAATAAACAAACAAATGAAAGGACCCAACCCTTCTCCATCATTCAATTGAAAAGGATTAGGCTCTACTTTTGCAAATAAAAAAGGTGCCAATTATCCACCGTTCCACAAAAAAAAAAGCCTCTGGGCCAAGATGCACCATGAACTCTGTTTTATATTGCTTACCTAGTTAAGATGACAACAAAAACAAAGCATTGCTTGATTGTTGGATATATGGTCAACAAAAAGAATAAATTTGCAGAATAAAACCCAAAAGCACAATTACCCAATTAAAACAATCCTTCAGCACAACGTATATCATTTTACAATTTAGAGTTACTTAAAAAAATGTCTTAAAAAAAAGACTTATTTGTCAATGAAATAACCACCTTCTATAGATTTTATCCCCTTGAGAAGTAATTCAGAGTTGATTTCCTTAAGCACAACATATGTGTTGCTTAAAATTAGAGCAGTAGCTATTCCAGAACCCATTAGGCCTCCACCAATTACAGCGACTTTCTTTATGTTTCTTGGTTTAAGACCAATATCAGTAACATTTGGAACCTGCAAAAGCAAAAGGACAGGAAATATAGGCTCAAGGGTACCAATTAATTGTGAGAGTACAAATAATTTATCAATTGAAATTTGTGGATGCCATTTCTAGAAGAATATTGACAATCTATCAAGAATGCCAAGGTCCGAGTAGCCCAACTCATTACCTCAATCTAAGGAATGGAAAAAATGATGGATGGGGTTGAAGGTTTCAAATTTCAAAACATCAATACCTTAGATGTAGCACGCTGGCCAAAGAAAACATGAACAAGACCTCTTGAAGTTTCTGAGAGGACTAGCTCCTTGAACACTCTAGCTTCCTGCAATGTTAAATTCTTTCATAAGCATATGTAAAATGCCAATTTAATGCTGTCGACTCTACAGGATCTATCACAGAACACTGAATTGGGCATCTAGGAGACATAAATATCTAACTGCTGAGATAATCAGCTGTATGCTACCAGCATCAAGAAACAGCAAAAGCTTTTTCTCCTCTTTACACAAGTACATTGCAGGTAACACAAAGGGAAACTGGAATTACCTCGAGAACTCCACTATACCCACCATGGACAATGCCTTCTTCAATCACATTAAGGCATGCCTGATGCTGAGGCATATTTGGGGCAGTCTTTTTGGCTTGTTCTCTAGCAGTTCTTAACACTTGCCGAGCTTCTGATAGAGAGCCAATTTTGTCTGTCCTGTGAAGAGAACGCACCCATGGCTTACGTCTTTCTGCAATCTCTAAAGCCCATAGCTTGGATGCCGTCAATAACTCATGAGAAGACACAATATCATCAATAAGACCTAGCTTCTTCCCCTCTTCAGACATGATTGGTTTTGATAGCTGCAAAGAAAGATTTTAGTACTAAAATTAGAATTTGGCAAGAATAGTCACCTCTAAAGTCATTAACAAACAATGCAAAATTTTGTTCAAGAAACGATTCTTGGACAGTAAGGCCATAAGGACATAACACTAGGGGTTGTGAAAAAGAATAAATTGAAGTTTTGTTCCTCACACAGCATATTATGGCAGCGAGTTTCAGTCTAGTAAAATAAATTAACTTAAACTGGCCGTTCAAAAAAAAAAATAAACTAAAACTGAACTCAATTACCAACCAATAATGATCCAATAAAAGTTCTTCTCATGGTCATTAACTACATTTAGAACTGAAATAATGCCCTCTCCACAAGCAAAACAAGGAAATGAAAGCCTAAAAACATAGTTCTCACTATGACAGAACTAGTGCAGTGAATTTTTTTTAAGTATATTGATGATTTAACTATGATATACAATTGTATGTTCCATTAATGACTGTATCTCTCAGTTTCTAAAAAAAAAAAAAGAGGAAAAAAGAAAAACAAAACAAAACATTACAGAGCCAAACCTCACCAGCATGATCTCAATAGCCTTTGACAGTCCCAGTAGCCTCGGAAGACGCTGTGTGCCTTACATAACAGCAATAAGCACAGTAAGTTGAAAAATGATATACAAAGCATTCATCACACAAACCACAAACCATCTGCGGCAATCTGCAAAACATGCTTTTGATTACATGAAGAAGCAGTGTGCGTACCTCCAAAACCAGGAATCACTCCAAGTGTCAACTCTGGCAAGCCCAGTTGAGTTTTTGGAGCAGCAATGCGTGCATGACAACCCTGAGTGAGAATAAATGGGATGAGACAGTTCTCTAATGATTTTGAAAAGAAAATTGTGAGAAAAAGAAGTTAACCACACAATCACTACTTCGGAGAAAACACTGACCATTGCCAATTCTAAGCCACCTCCAAGAGCTAACCCTTCAACAGCAGCAACAACAGGCTTCTTGCAATCTGTGACAGTGGATCAAAAACATAAACAGAATGATAAGTGCATAAAAAAAGTGAGAACCAATAAAAAAGCCAGAGAACAGCCAAAAAAAAAAAAGGGCAGAGTAAAATGTCAAATTGTCAATAGATAGAGATAATATTAGGTCAAGACTGACCTTCAATAGTGTTGACAACAAGATCAACTGATACATCAGGCATAAGTGAAACATCACCTGCACAGAAATATGCGAGTAAATTCAGAAACTAACTCCCAGATCACATAAAGTTGAAATCCAAAGATCTAACTAATTGACTCATACCATTCTTATGAACCTTCTGGAAAACATTGATGTCGAATCCACCAGAAAACCTTCCACCCTTGCCTTCAGTATACCATGAGAAAGCACAAAATCAGCAAGAAATAGACATAAAATAACTAAAATTTCAAGCATAATTCTGGTAGTTACATATAAAACTTTTCACAAAAACAATCACACTGTAGCAGACAGCGCGCAGTGAACTGAAATTGACATAATATAATTGGATAACTGGAATCTACATATTTCTCAAGAATCAAACAAAAATAGATTCCTACAACGAGATGAACTTGATCATAAGATTAAATTAGGATAAATACTAATGTTTTTCCCTTAGAATTGAATCAAATTGGAATGAAATAATGTAATTGGATAACTGGAATCTTCTTATTTCTCAAGAATCAAACAAAAATAGATTCCTACGACGAGATGAACTTGATCATAAGATTAAATTAGGATAAATACTAATGTTTTTCCATTAGAATTGAATCAAATTCATTTCATGGCCAAAAAAAATTTTCACTGAATGAAATGAAAAATTCAACGAGAACTCAAGACTTCACCGGTGAGAACAATAGCTTTAACGTCGTTTCTGGCCGTGGCCTCATCGAATTTCTGCTTCAATCCCGCGATTACTGCAGCGTACGATCAAACATGTTAAGCTCAATTAGATTGAAACCCGAAAAGGAAACAAAGGGAAAAGAGTGATGAAACAACTTACTTGGAATAGCTAAGGCGTTAACGGGAGGATTGATGATGGTGATGACGGCGACGCCGTCGGTTCCGACTTCCATGGTGACTCGAACCTCCGCCATGGCTAGGGTCTGTCTTTGTCCTCGTGTT